GAACTTGAGAAAGTTCGGGATTAAATGTCTGATAGCTTCTGAATTAGGTCTAGAAAATGGAACTGCAGGGATATGGCTGAACGCTTAGCTTTAGGAAGGGGGCTTACACCAGTACTTGGGCTTTTCGATCGCGGTATTTCATCCGTTGCTCTACACAGTACCTGTCTGCCGTTAGATACTCCAGAAAACTGGGCCATTTCAGTGATGATCCACTTCTTTCTAATGGGGAATGCACTATTGTCCGTTCAGACCGGGTGATTTTCAGAAAGTTTGAAGCTTTCTGAGCTTTTAAAACGACTTTCGTGATGTTTTTGAGCTCATTCCCGGAACGATGCCGACGAGAATAGCTTAATTTATCCTCAAGCAACAAGATGTTGACGATGTTCAATACTCCTACTACATTGTGCGCAAAATTGAATTTCATTGAGTAAATCAAGAAAGTTGTCTTGATTCGGCTATGACCGTGAATTTTCTTTTTCGAAACCTCGAGATCCAGTTTCAATCAACTATTCAAAAACCCTTAAAACTGCCCAGGACCCCTGCACTTCTCCGAAGCCGGTCCAGGTGTTGGGCATTATCCAAGATGATTACTCGTAGGCCACTGCGCTGTCCCTATCCTTGATGGTGGGGACGAAGATTGCTTGAATGATGGTGATCTCTTTTGATGAAGTCGTTAACTGTCGCAAGGGATATTTTGGCCTTCAACCGCTTATCTCCAAGAAGATTGGATTGAGGAAGGGCAGCTTGGCTGAAATCGAGACCGATACCCGCTTGATCAACTCTCCGGGGCAGATTATATGGAACCAGACATCCAGAGACGGATATGACCATCGTTTTGTATGCACTTCCAACTGCCTATAGTGCATTAGCCAAGCCAAATCATAGGAGTATTCGGAAGTATTTAAGGCTTATTTGACCGAGGCAGATAACTGTCCGGGATTCGATCCCGAGACCATACGTTTATGGTGCCATATGCAACTACACCACCTCGCCCAGTAATAGTAACCATAATAGAAGAAATCGTGAGCATTAACCAGGATAAAAAAAGGCAATTACAAGTCTCTACAAAAAGTGTCATTCGATTACTGTAGTTTTATCTAAGGCAATTCCAAGAATTAGTCGCATGCAATGAAAAAGCTTATAGACAGATTTCTGTAAGGCTAACCTAATTCCTGAGAATGGCTTGCTAGTAATGATATTGGTGCTATTTGAATTCCCATTCTCTTCTGGCATGGGAAGCAATCCATACAAACATAAACGGCCGATACGGCTTCATTGGAATGGCGCCTGAATGCCAAGATTTGCTCCAGTCTGTTGTTTTTTCACGCCATACATCCCCCTGGGGTCGGTTAATTGGTACCAGACTCGTTTGGGAGGATAAAAGCGCTGACTTGTAAATCGGATGGCCACCGCAAGTAATTGTATAAGCCGCATAAACATTCAATGCGCAACTGCGATCCTGAATGGAAGTCGAGTGCGGGGCGCGGGATTGATTGACGCCAAAAACTTTATCCTTTGAACTTTTGTTGTTGTTTATTTATTTTCAATTACATAAGGAACATTCCTTTTTTTCAGCCGCCGATTGCCTCATCGAACGTCGACTACTTCGCCGAGCTATGGAAGTGGCGACTTCGGGACGTGGTGATCCACATCATCAACGATCGCAACGAGCCCAACTTGCAATGTGAGCAGCTCAACCACCATCACGAGTTGCCTGTTCTTCCAAGAATTCTCCAAAAATAATGCATTTATATTAAACCACATATATTTATATATACTGTATTTTGTTAAACAAAAGGCCATATTTTGATGCCAAAAATCTCCTATGGGGCCAAATTTTTTCCTTGAGATATTTATGAATGTATTGATGGCCTAATTTTTAGTACATGTAGAGGAATACTGTCTTAGTTAAACCCTCCCAGATCACTTTTGGTTGTGTGCGTGACAAAGAAAACGGAAAACTACTGGTGGAAAATTTTTCCCATTCACCGTTTGGTCTCAAGACGTTTCATGTCTAGTCTATCCATTGGCCATTTTTTTTCTCGTCACTGGACGATTTCAAAGTCCATCTCTCGTTTTGTGTTTGATTCATATTGCGTGTGTGAATAAATTGCACGGCCTGTGCTCGTTCAATTCAATGGCTTCTCATCGATGCTTCTCTCTTTCTGTCAAAACAGCTGCTGCAGTCTCAGCAAGTGCCCCTAGCCTATTTTCTTGCCTCTAGGGCATCTACTAGATTTCTGAGGCATAGGGCAGAATCAGGCTATTTTTAGTGACTTGTTACTAGCATACGCATGGAACAAATCAAAGGGTGAAAAGTCTCTCAAGGGGCTAATTATGGGACATGGGGGGATAGGATGGGACCTATTAGTGGCCTAGCACTTTTAATATTGACGAAGTACAGCGAAGTGTTGGAAGTTTTGAGCTGATAGGGGATTTGCCTGCAAAAAGTAATGCAGGAGAAGGCCATGGGAACACTTTCACTCGCTCTAACCCTTTAGGGAAGACATTCGAAGTAATCAATACGAAAAAAAAAGGTGTTCTATAAACTCTATTCCGGGGAAACCGGCAGCCCTCCACGTCCGGGGACTACAGTAGATTTCTACGAGGGAAAGAAAGGTGTCCAGGCTTATCATTGGGAGATGTGAACTCCCTAACTTTATCCTTTATAAATGGTGGGGAAGGACAACGGCATGACCATTTTTGGAGGAAAGGATTCAATGAGGAAAAGTTTCGGGAAAATTTCGAAACTACAGTAGTCAAAGTAGGTTCTGACGTCTGGGTAACTTTCTGCCCTTTGTTTCACCTGAGTAATAATTAATGCACACAAATAAAGGTGCAAAATTCTGACGTAGTACTAATGCACTACGATATTTAAATTAGAATATTAATTATTCATAATTTTTCGGGCAAGCGGTAATAATACAATACAAAAATTTCCCTATTCAGGGACGATGAGGCGGCTGACGAAGAAGATGAAGAGGTTCACGAATTGCACGAATTATTTAAACGTGACGATGAAGTTATGAGCCGAATGTCTGCAATGTCAAGGAGGTGAGATAGGGCTGATATCGATTGATTTATTAG